CACACACACACACACGCGCACACACACGCACAGCTTTATGCATATGCACGAACATAAATAAGTAAGTAAATACCTATGTATACATATATGTTCTTATATGTGTATATGTATATGCATGCTATGGATAGATAGATAGATAGATAGATAGATATGTTGATATTGTTGTCGGTAGCAAGTCCAAATCTAAATCTCCCTCAAAGCCTACCGCCTGAACAATCGAGCCTTAAGCTACCCCTGGCATCCTAAGCCCGTGCAAACCTGAGCCCTGAACTTCACAACTTTGAAAGCGCCAGCCCTGAAGCACTGAAGCCCTAAGCAAATGCCTTGAAAAGTGGCCACCCAATCGTACGAACAACAACAGACACAGCAAAAGCATAGAAGCAATGAGCGAATACAAACATGTTGACGATTAAACAAACAACCAAATGAGTACATACGTACGGTGTGCATACATACATAGACGAATGTGTTTTCTATATGCACGCTTGCATTTTCGCACTAGCCCTTAACAAAAAACCCAAGACCACGAGGAGAAGAATACAACCAACAAAAGGACACCACGACCTCGAACCCGAAAGCCGCAAACAAGGCGGGAGGCGAAAACACCCTCCAACACCAGAAGCCGAAGCCCAAAACCCGAAACCCTAAACATCCCTAAACCCAAAGCCCTGAACCCTAAACCCAAAGTTAGCCCTAGACCCTAAACCCTAAACCCTATACCCAAAGTTAACCCTAGACCCTAAACCCTAAACCCAAAGTTACCCCTAAACCCTAAACCCTAAACCCTAAACCCTAAACCCCAAACCCTATACCCGAAGACGGCCAGAAGAGTGCCTTGAAGCCCCGAGCTGCGAGCCCGAGGCTTCCAGGCAGCCCTGGGGGCATGTTCACCGAGGCAGCAACAGAGCCCTGGGTTTGGGTGTTTAGGGTTTAGGGTTTAGGGTTTAGGGTTTAGGGTTTAGGGTGTAGAATGATTTAAACAATTTTATGAGTTGCTTTCTATGGGGTTGTTGAAGCTTTTGTTTTGCTCTTTTGGTTTGGGTGGGGAGCTGTGTTGGGTTGATGGGCTCGTCGGGTTTTAGCAAGGATGACTGGCATGTGGCTTATTCCGGAACCCTAGAACCTAGAAGAAGTGAACTGTCGAATCTGCCTTGTGTGGACTGCAGGACGACAGGTCCAGAGCTCAGCGAGGGTTCCGATCGCCTGCAGATAGATGCCATCTTTTTTCTGGAGCATGTCAGTCTATGATCTTTCTCCTTATGATTTGACCCGGTGCAACAACATCTGTTGTTGTCTGCACATGCACTTTTCTGTTTGCCTGTGCAGTTGTGTTTTTGTATGTCCTGTTCGTGTAATTCGTGGGGGGGCATGCCTGCTAGTCCGGAAGCAAAACGCGAAGTGCCAAGACTCAGGAGTCACCTGCTGGACAAAGATGAAACTAGGCCTGGGAGGGCTCTTCGGCGTAGCGGTGCCGTGCATATGGACTAGAACCAGCTCGGAGTAGGGTGATGCTCTTCGATGCTGCATGGGGCTTCCAGCAAAGCGACAATGCATGTTCTGTTCGCCGCCCAGCGAATTTAGCAGCCCGTGCGACACTCCAGTCGGCATTGCTGGGGCCGCCACCGCTGCACCCTGATAGCAACAGCGGTGATCCTGCTCGTGGGCGCGGCCAGGTTCTTAAAACCGGTCAGGCGATTGGCATTGGGATTTGGAGCTTCAGCTTGTCTTGCTTTGAATGGTGGCGAATGGTGCTGCGCTCTGTTCCGACTAGTTCTTTCTGCGGCCTTCTGAGGCTTACTCCTTGCAAGGTGCCCGCTATATAGCAGACGACGCATCAGCATCTGAAGTTGCGCATGCTACTTGCACGACCCTCATGACCAGCAGTATCAATACTTGGTTGCTACTGGCGTTCCGACACCTGCGCTTCAGAGCCAGTCCGCTGCGAGCTAAGGCTGGTCTCGCCATGCATTCCATGGGGACCCGCACAGCGGTGACAGAGATCAAGAGATATATGGGTAGTTGTCAAAATTATGTTCCTTTTGAGGTTACCCTAAATAATAGGTGCCGTATTATAATAAGGACCCCAAAAGGGACCATAATTTTGACAATCACCCATATGGGCTTTTAAGACGGCAAGGATTCTGGAAGGGTATTATAGAGGCATTGTGGGGGATGGGAAAACACAAACAGAAAGAGAGTTCCGGGTAAAGGGTTCGACGGCTGGGGTTCAGGGCTTTGATAAGAGGCGCAAGAGATTAGGGTGTAGAGTGATATGAGCTGACGTGGATGACAGCTGAACCAGAACCAAGAGAGAGAGGGAGAGAGAGGGAGAGACCCAATTGTCCCTAGCCCTGGCGAAAGAAAGAGGGAGAGAGAGAGAGAGTGACGAGAATGGTCACACGCGAAATGATTCGCCAACATTGATAACTCATCTGACTTTGCCGGAATAGTAGTTAAATCTAGTGCTTCACCGTCACGGGCCAATTGCAGGAGTAGCATGAAGCAGCGACAGTGCTAGTAGAATTCGCAATGGTTGATGACTGCCCTACTCATGACCTTGACCGCAATCACAACTATGATAATCACACTGGTCGGCTGAACCATAATAGTCAGGAGTCACTATGTGCACAGCCCTCAACATGACAATGCTGCTAGCAAGAACGATGAAGAGAACGACGCTTGTAATGTTGAGGGGAAAGCGTCTCAAGCAATCAAAGTAGCAGAATCCCGCAGCCAGAATCCGAGCCTGGGGTTAAAGTTCAAACACAGGCACAGCCATGATAAGCACAGTGCGAATATGGCGAGTTAAGCCCTGCTCAGTCATTGCTTCATGCTACATGCCACGGCCGTGGCAGGCTGCGGCTTCCCGCAAACCTCCAAGCCCAAACCGAAGTTTTCTCCAGTTGGGTCCCTTGTGTACTAGCCCAGACCAAGGAGCCGCGAACATGCAAGCTCATGATTTGGCTTGAAATCAGAGTGCCGGACTTCTGGCTTCAATTGGCCCAGCTTACTCTGAACCCTAAACCCGAAGCGACCCGAAGCATCCCTTGCTAGCCTCTCAAAACAGCAAGCGGACCTTCGAAGATTCCCTTGAGAAACACGCTGCTCTGCGCGCAGGAGTCGGGCTCACAGAGGGAAATCCATGCTGCACTCCCAGCTTACAATGGGCATGCTTGAGACGGTGTGGCAACAAGTCTGGCAGTGGTACTTCACATAATTCTGAGTGTATGGTGATTGGTGGTATGGTCGTGGTCAGTAGCTGTCGGGGTTGTGCTCATAATGGTGACGATTGTGTGCCTATTGATGCAGAACATGCTTCTGGTCACGAGTATATTGCTAGCTGTGATCGTTGCCCATGGTCCTGTTCTAAGTTTCCAATATGAGAATGTTCTTCTTGATAGTTATGTAGGCGTAGACGGCAACCATGAGCTTGACATTGAGTCTGTTTTTACCCTTCGCACGTACATGCCACCACCACCAGCGCGAGCTCACGCATCGCCAGCACTGACAGCATTAGCAGGACGATCCAGAGTAGCTTCCTCATTCTCATCGCCCTCACCATTGCCATCGCAGCCTAATCGCGAAAACCGAGGTGTTGGAATCATTGCTCGAGTCGTCCGGCTGCTACAAACTACACTGCAGCATCGGTGCGTTGTGTATGTAATGCTTTACGTATGGGTACAGTACACGCATCCGTGTATGTTACGTCTATACTGCTTTCACACCTAGTGTAGGAAGGGGAGAAGCGCATTGCATGACTAACTATTGCTGCCCCTAATGCCACGACCCGGGCACCCCAAACCCTAAACCCTTTCGAACCACGCCTGGCTCGTCCGAGTTGTGAGGGCGTAAACCCTAAGCCACAAAGAGGCTCCTCACCCTAAACCCTAAACCCTAAAAAGAGGCTCCTCATAAACAAGCCGAAGTCCGACCAGCGGCAGTATCAGCTCGGCTCTCAAGGGACTTGGGGTTTCGGGCTCTTCAAGTTTTCCGAGGCGATGGGCCACCAAAAGCCTGCTACAAATAAGGGATCCGCATGTGCGGTTTAGGGTTCAGGATGTAGGATTGGGCGTTTGCGGCATTTGTTGAGGGTCCCGGAACGGCCTGGGATTGGGGACGTGGCATGAAGGATCCAGGCACAAATCTTGGTTTGCCCCCACAACAACCCATGCAAGGACTTAACTACTTAACAACCTGCATACAATGGCTGCATGTTTGCAGAAGTTTCCAGTAGTACCAGTCGTCAGGAGGAGAAATGCCAGACAGAGACTGCGAGGGCAGCTCCGTTGGTTCCACACCCCACCGAAAGCAGGCCTTTTCTAGAGTATACTTGTATTACAGCCCGACACCACATCCCGTGTCGGATGCTCTTAGTCCAGGTACACCGAGCTCTCGAATGGCCTTCACGTCGTGAACATCCAGGACAGATGGGTGCCGGGTCGCACTCGAACGGTGCCGCACAAGAGAGGGACAAAGAGGAATCGACGTTATTGACGACTGTTGATTCTGGAGTGGTGGTGGAGGTGTTCGGAAAGCAACAACGGGTCAGCTCGATGTTCTCAGTCGTCTGATTGGTAAGTTCGCCAAAAGTTTCTAGAGGAAGTGCACACCAGGATACATTGGCAATGCATTCATTGCAACCGCTTGGAAGCCCCCTCCAAAAGATCGGAGCCGTCTCTTGGCTACGCTCAAGTCCTCAGAGAGGCTCAACTTTGCGCCTGAGAAGCTGCCTTCAGTTTGTACCCACTGCATTTACAGACACACACACACACATGCACAGGCACTGCTTGCTTTGCTTCTCTGTTCACTGATTCCCGAAACCCTAAGCCCAAGATCCTACACAGCATAAGAAGAGCCGGAAACTTGTCCACTGGGCGGCCTGGCTCCTCGCCACGAAGATGCAATCAGTATGGATTTGGGATCCGGTGGACGCCAACCGTCCCTTCAAACACCCACAGGATATACCCGAGAACGATGAGGAGGAGGCGACGGAATGCTTCATGGCCGGAAAGACCGGGCCCCGCCTGAACAAGCTGTCCAAGGTTACTTTGCAAAACCAAACGGGCAATCTGGCCATGGTCACTCGTGAGGATGGCAGCAGCCACGAGGTGCTCCGGACCCGCGTGCTCTATTGGTATGAGGGCCTTCTTATTTTGCAAGAGCTCGAGGCGAAAAGGGATGCCAGGATCGCTTGGTTTGACGACCGCTTCCGCAAGCTCTTGGTTCAGGAGCGCAAGAAGCGCGGGAAGGTCAGTGGCATCCTCTACCTCGAGAAGAAGCTGTTGAACGTCTCTGTCACAGGTGCGCGGTTCGTGGATGCCACAGGGGCGGCCTTTGTTCATAGACGGCCAGGGGTGAAGGACACGGAGATTCCTGAAGACTGGGAGGAATACACAGCTTCGGGCGAGTATCGCATTGCGGACATCACTGGCTACATGCCCCCTTGGGAGGCCTGGTGCCACGAGCATGCTGGCTTCTACCAAGACTTCTACCGGGTGCTCTGGAAGGATGATAAGGGGAAGGGCTGGGCAGGAATGAATCTTTCAAAAGTGGAGAATGGTGCCGAAGCAGGTTCGACGTGGGAGCCTGACGACTGTATCCCGCCGAGCCTTGATGGCATGAGGTTGCGCGAAAAGAGCCGATGGCTCAAGCGCAAACACGACCAGGAGCAGAAGGAGAAAGCCGAGAAGGACAAGGAAGAGGCTGCGGCTGAGCGAAGGAAATTGGAGCCATCGGCAAAAATGGGTCGGTACAGGCGCGATGGCGATCCGCTCAGCCGAGACATGTTCCGCCTTCAGCGCGGCCATGACTTCAATCCGCCACAGGCAAACAAGGATCC